CACTAAAACTTCTTTAAATTTAACGACCAATTAGCCAGGAGAATATGGATTTTTGAAGGAGTTGATTTGAGACTGTAAACTAATACCAGAATATGTAATGAGTGAACCTATTCGAAAACCGTAGTTAAAGTGTTCGTGAAGAGTATCATGGAATGAACGAGTATTAAATCAGGGCTGTCGGCATATTCGATCGATATGAATGCATTCATTGAAGGTCATTATCACCACTTCGTCGTTCTCCAATCAAATCGACATCGTCCACCTTTTACTGTCTATCTGTCTTTACGATTCCAAAAAGAATCAATCGAACTAAGTTATCCGATGGAATTCGCCACAAATTCATGAAATCAGAATTTCTTATTGTGAATTATTTCCGTTCATAAGCGATTTTATAAGGAAGAATAACTAATCTTTTATTGACACAAAACGATCGTTGCAACAACAATAATAACGCTGATCAATGTCCAAAAAGTTATAATACAGAATCCAATATCAAATTCTCATTTCATTTCTTTTCGAGTGAATGCAAAAACATTAAATCCAATATGCTTGGTATGATTATCATAAACTTTTTGTTCGATCGGAATGATCATATGTACGTATAGGATCGTCACTGGAGTCAAGTATCTTCGAGAGCTATTCTTAAGATCCTGATATCTAAGATTTGGGAAAGTAGCAATCGATTTGAAGCGAATGAGCATATGATCAGCATAGTGAGTAAGTGAATAACTGATTAATTACTCGTGTAGCCACAATACAATATAAGAGCTGCGCACCAGAAACGAAACGACTGCATAGCTCTAAATGAATGATCAACTGAAAATTCAATGCTTTTCGAAGTGAAAATATAAAACCTGGTTCATTTTGACAGCTTTGTGGTGAGTTCAACGTTGTTTCAAATGACATTCTTTTGAATCGATTGTGAAAAGAAATATCCGAGTAAATAGAAAATAATGAAAATACCGCTTGTTAGGCACACACTCGTATTACGAATCATGAATAGCGGATAAAAGAACATTATAAATCATATCACATAAATCATCGTTTCGATATGATCACAAATTGAGTATTTCAATAAATAATCACTATATAACAATAAGATGATCATCTTTCAAGGCGTATATCTGGTATACGAATGACATATATTGTGCCGATCGACTGCTAGCCGTTAATCGATCTGGTATTGATAAAAGCATATTCATTAAAGTTCTTCCTTCTTCCTTTGCTCATTCTGTTTCGTTAACCAATCAGTGAGCAGTTTGAAATTGCGATGTATCCATTGCTGAAATCACAGACATATAATATTTTGAATTTCCAGCAGTTTGTTCTTCTGCATGAATTCACGAGAGGGTGACTACGAGTTTGCAAATAAATTCATTAATGTTGATGATAAAATGCCGAAACATTAAGCAGATTCACCGTATTTGTTTTCGATAGTTCCAGCTGCTGACTGAAAATATCCAGTTTGTCTGTGATTCTCTTGTTTTTCTTGATAAATGCTTCCAACTGAAATAAAGTTTACAAATTGGTGAATTTTTCTTGATGAACTTTCAATTATTCGAATTTGCAAGTTTTTGATACAGAATAAGGAACAAATCAAAAACTTTATCGATCATGGGATCGAGTTATCGTTATTCAGAACGACGAAGAGCAAGCACTAACTTGAGCCACTTTGCGATCACCTCTAACGCTCGTGCCGCTCATTATAATCCTTTTCAGGAGTGTTTGTTGTTCTTTCAGACTATAAATATCATTGATGAGCACTAGAACGAGAATGTAATGAAATTCAACTGTACATTTTCAGATTAATGCTGCGGATTGCAATCTTCCAAAGAACTAACTCTTTGTAAAGGCGTGCGAGGTTGTCTTGAAGGTAGTCGAAAGTGAGTAGCTTGCCAACGGGGTCACGATAAACGTTGAGGAAAACAGTCGGCGCATCTTGCAGTCGAATCGATGTATCATTCAAATTTGATGCCATGGTCAGTAACCTATGCAGGGCGAAGAAATCAGAGCAAAATTGCGCCAATAATCTCATTTTTCTATTATTCAGGGCATCGCTTATGTCATGAACATTCAAAACCGTTCGTCTTTCCGAATAATCAAACACTCAAAGCAATTTTACTTCTTGATGGTCAGTGGATCTCTGGAGCATGTCAACCCAACGAGTAACCGATCACGTTCCACTTGGACCCTCTCTCGTTGATACAACTCGAATATCCTATTCCAAACTTTTTCTGCACCTTGCCGCACACCTTCACAATACACCATTCCTCGTATTGGTACCGGAACACTACAGTCATAATTCATTTACTTTTCATCAAACCAGAAGTGGAGAGTTCTCACAAAAAACTAAAGATTTTGGGTTGGCATTCATTGAATCGCGTTCCTTTCATTCTTTATAGATGGAAACGAACCTGCTGCATTCACTAGAGAGTACTGTGTCGCCCTCACAAACATCCAAAAGTTTCGTCTTGAAAAGATTCAAAAATCGATCCGTGCAATCGATATTCCGAATACGGCAATATTCATGGATTATACTGTAGTCCAACTGGCTGAAAGATCAAACTTCTATTCGGATATGTGAGCTTCGATGAAAGTTTCATGAATAAAGTACTCATTGCACTCACTTCTCGAAGAACTGCTTCTCTTCCAAATAAGTTGTATTCAAAACGTCCCAGTTAATTCGTTCATAGAGTGGTGCCAATAAAGGATCTAGATATTCCTGCAATTCAATGGCAATCGCGTCAGCTACAAGCCTAATTTCTATTTCAAAACTAAATACTACGAGTTTNTACGAATTCGATGTTAACACATCTTGAAGCCAAGAAGCATTATTTCTAGGATCGTTTTGGAAGCAAAATCTATTTCTATTGAATATACAAAATTATGGCCAGAATATTGCATTAAACAGTTTTCTTATGATGAACAGCAAAGAGAGTGATAGAAATGAAGTGACCCTGAGTAACTCCAATTCAGGCTCATCACCGAAGTTCGAGATGATCAAGTTGAATCCGTCGAGTGCCAGTGCCCATGGCAAATACTCCGTCTCGCTCGGCAGATACGCACTGATATTCAATGGAATATCATACGAGATCTGACCCGCTTCGGCCAACGCGAATGCATCACCGATGATTCGAGCACGAGAGCGCACGTCTATCTTCTATGAAGTGAAAAATTTGGTGATTGGTCAAATCTAATCGTAAGAAGAAAATTGATCAGAATCTCCATAATTTTATGCTTTCAAACCAAAATTTTCAGAACTTTCCACCTAAGTTACGGTTGTCTTGAATGCTCATTTATGACTTCTTCTAGTGAGCTGGAGTTTAAGAATAGAGCGCTCAAGCGACATACTGTGTAATCATGAAGTAACTGATCAATGATCTTATTCCAGCATTCTTCGTTATAATTCACTCGATAAAATCCTCGTGAGCCACTGTTCAACACAAACAATTCATCGAGTTTCACGTTGATTCCTTGGGCTAAATCTGTCAATTTGTTCATTCGCACGGTACAGTCAATCTTGGTGTGTCGAATTATGCAGTCTTTCTGATTATACAATATCTCACTCATTTTCTAATGCACATAGTGAGATGTGATATTAAACATCAACTTGCAGTGTTTTAAAATATCAAGCTTCACTAAACAGTGTATGTATTGCGCTGTTATGAAAGCAAAGACAATAAAATCACCTTCATGAAGCCATTCCATCGGTTTTTCAGTGCCATTGATAGAGTACCAAATTGGGATGTCGTATTTGTACCTGAAAAATTTACCGGTAATTTCGTAATTCCCGATCATTGGAAACTATCAAATTTCAGAACGTTGCAATAGTGACCAGAACTCAGCGTTTCGATATTTCTCCTTTTCGAGTGCTTTCTCATCCCACTTGAAACGTCTTTGATGCAACTCAATACGTGTTGGTGAAAGTCTGCGCAGTTCGAGCACTGGATAACCCATCTGAAAATGCATCAGGCTGTTTATTTTCGATGAATCGAATACTTACGAGATCGAATTAACAGATAATCGAATGCACTACGACCGACTACCAGAACAGAATTGATGAAGGGAGCGTAACAGAATTCAGAGACACTTCATTAAGAGTAAACCTGGTCGATCCACTTCGATGCGAAATCGCGAATATTCAGTTTATCACCATTCCACGCCAACAACGTTTCAGGCACTGCCTCGTCGAGTGCCGCCCATAAATCATTGTGTTCAGCATTTGACAACCGGAATCGATCCAAGTATATCTTCAAGTGATACACCCGTCAAGTTCGATGAATGAAACAAAACTGGGACGCGACTCTTTGATCAGAATGATCAGAAATTGAAATTGACCTATGGTAATGATCATAAACCAACTCACATTGAGACCTTTTTTGAAATTTTCTTCACCCATCACTTCTTGAATCATACGAATTATTGAGGCACCCTGAAATCGAGAGTTGGTTTTAATGATATGTCTGAATGGAATGACGAAGTGATGATACCTTATCGTAGGTGATATCATCGAACGCTTCACTGACATCTTCGGCCTTATCAATTCGAAAATGTAGAGGATGAGAAGTGGCTCGTGCGTCTCGATCGAGTGCAAGCTCTAATGCATCCACCAGAAACCATTCACCCTTAATTAATCAGCATTTATCGCTGCTTCCGATACTCAATCATAACAATCCGACGATGCATCAAAAACAGCTGACCATTTTAAAGTTCCCTTGACTGATCGCATCAGCACCCAAATATTCCATGTAAGTGGCAAATCCCTCGTTCAACCACAAATCATCCCACCATTTCATTGTCACCAAATTTCCGAACCACTGAAATAACAGCACACAAATGTTGCTATCAGAATTATTTCAGTTGAAGGTCAAATGAAACACATCAAATATTATCACGATAGGAACGCTATTCTGTGTGATTCGGAAGAATAGATCAATCAGAGCATTTTGCGAGATGCGTTTATAATTCTGAAAATGTCTTCGTAATTCACACTTCACGATGCGATATTCTTCTCAAGATGCAAACAATTCACTTGATGTGCGAGTTCGTGTGCAACCACCAGTGCAACGTTAGCCTTCTGCATCGGTGTATACAACGCACTATCATAAAGAAGATATTTCTCGCGGTACGTCACCAGTCCCCAGTTCTCCATAGCGCCCGCAGCGAAGTCAGGCAGCGCTATCATATCTAAATTTCATCATCATTACGTTCCTACTTAGAACCCACCCATCACCGATCATCATGTTTTCATATTTTTTCATTAGTTGATTTTTTTGCTCATTGTCAGAAAAAGTGAAGGAACCTTGCTTCTCGAGTGGGAATGGAATATCGTAATAGTCTTCGTAGAACTCCAAGACTCGTATTCCGGATTCGAGTGCATAAAGTGTTTGATTCAGTGCTTCTTTCCGTGACCATACGCGAAACTGAAATATCGCTCCGAATGTCCTCAGCAATACTTTCGTGATATTTGAATTTATGAAAGTTTCGTGCACTTCTCATTGTTTTTTGTGCAGGGTTACGAGCTCATTGCTTAATAAAAACTCCTCCATTAACATTGAATTGGTCGAATATGGGACTGAATGTTGTGTAGTCGGATAAGGTGCTTGCACGTATTTGGAAGTTATAGCACTTGGGGAAAAGCATTATGATAAAGATAAGTATACCCTAGTTCCACGCCTGGTAGCACCTTCGTTATAATCGAAATCAGTGACTGTCAATGCGAGTAGATAAGATGACATCGGCAGGGTTGGTTTGAACTTTGTCACTAGCCAATCGTGGTCATCACTGAAATTTTCTGGCATTCTCTCTCATTCTCAGTCAAGCGATCCAGTCAAATCATATCAAAACAACAAAAATACTAAAACTCAGTTATTGTTAAAACTTGCACAGATGGGCATTAGCGCTAACTGGTGATAGTCATAGCACTAATCAGCGAATAAGCTATTCGCTAGTTAGCCACTTAGCTTCTGCTAATGTCCATCTGTGACTCGTTCCATAAAACGATTTGAATGATTGTTGTATTTGAGTGAGTTTCGAACATATTTCAGAGTTTAACGCAACCTCTCAACAGCGTTCTTGTACTCAATTCCGTTTGAGATTGCAACTGTGCCCCGTGGATGGATCACTTTCACTTTCCAGACGGCCTTGAACTGAGGCTCGTCAAAGCATGGCACCAACCGTCGCGCATCAGTTGGCTCCATCTGAGTCACAGCCAGAAACCTTCAAAGTGTCAAACTGCGCTTGAACAAATGATTGTTCCAATTGCACAAGTATCCGTATATCATTTCAGTGCTGATTCGAAATTATTCATTATCAATTTGTTCATTGCGAATTCATCATTATAATGATGCTCGAAGTGAGATATTTCGACAGCGTTCAATCAAATCGCTCTGCATCCGTAACACAACTAAAACGTACCGTTTCTCGCCATCGCTATCCACATACTGACTCAAATAAAGGCCCGATAGTTTGTCCGCAATTAAACCTTTGTATAGCAGCTAAAAACAATAATAGTTTCATCCTTTAAAAACAGTAAATGTTAACTTTTGACGGAAATCCGAAAAAATATGCTTCAACCACGAACATTGATCTCAATGTGATCTCTTGTGATCAAAGGAATTTCAGATGATAATGTCCCTTCTTGAAGCTATTGAATTTTGCGACTGTTACAGTGATTCAGAACTGAGGATGATAATAGCAACAGAGGAGAAGCAAACTTGATATGGATAATAATGTTACTCTGAAGTAATATTCTTCGCCTGGTTTCAGCTCACCATCCAAATCGAAATAAACCATCTCAACTGTATCATTCACAGTCACTTTAGCCACCTGAATTGAATTGTTAAAGTTTGTTTCGAATATTCGCCGATGTTCAAGATTTGCGTTCACCTACCTGTGCGTCTGCTGCTGTTTGCCCGGATCGCGATGATCCACCGTCATCCGTTTGCGGTCTTTCGGTTGGCGTTTCAGTTGTGAATTGCTCTTCGTCATACTAAACTTTATCACATTATTCAAGATATAGCATTACGTTCACGATCAAAACATTCAATCATTCACTATCATCTGCGTATTCGTCAAGTTATTACCTCAACCACCGGACCGGCTTCAGATTCTTTGCCTTGCTTCGACTCATCATCAGTCTGATGTGATAACACAGTGCTGTTCTCTATATCCACCTCTGCGGCATCTCTCAGATGTCTCGTTACCTAAAATTACCTCTCAGAACCCGCTTATTCAGCAGTGCAATCACTGTCTGTTAGCCTTTTAACATGAACCATCAAAATACGCAATCAGAAACCAATTCTTTGCAACGTTTGCTCGGTTGGTTCATGTCAATAAGAAAAGCTGTTAATTCTCTGCTACGGTCACAACGTAATACGTAACAACAGTTCAACGGATGAATGCATCTATTCATGTGATCGCAATGAACGGATATCATACCCGAAGTGGTTGAGTTTTCTGATCTTGCAGCAGCTTGTATTTGCTGACATCGTCCGAAAAATTCAAATTCACTGCACTCAAAACGATCCGATCGGTTGCCTCATTAACTCGAAACTTGATAATGAGTGCCGCGTCGAATGTTAGATTCCTATCTGCCGGTATATCCACATATCCGGGTAGATAGGTTTTTACTGAGACGTTGTACCTTAATGGTTTTCGACAGGCCGATTAATAATGCTCAAGCATTTGTTGTGTTGCCAAATTTAGTGTTTGCAGATAAAGAGTAGTTCATGAGCAAAACGTGTGATGGTCAGGAACACACTGAGTTGAAACTCTTCGGGATGCTTAACGATTGCTCGGAATTTTTGAATATGGAGTGAGTCAAAAATTTTGGTGATTGATTGCCGGAATGGTATGTTTTGATTGGTTGGAGTGGAATGATGATAAGGTTAAGAGCTGGTTAGAAGGCAGACCATAACGGTGACAAATTGCTGGGCAATCGTAATTCAGCAGCTGTTGGTTCATCGATGAACGCCTCTGCGTTGGCTGCATTCTCATCACTCGGTGTACTTCTTCAATATGGTGTTGTCAATTAATCTACTGATTCTCAAGAACTTTCTTGCATTTTCAAAATATTGCTTTAGATAGTTCGGAGAACTTCAAATACTAAGGAATCAACGCCTCAAAGGTCGTTTATGAAATTAAAGTCGTTCACAATGACGCTTCCAGTTCAACTACGACAAAAGTTTCCAAATAAAAAGAGCGATTCTATGGGTCTACGAGAGAAAAGGGTTTTAGGAAGGCTAANAAGTAGAGAATGCAAAATTGAATAATAAAGAAGTACGATTCAAGTGCTTCTTCGCCTATAAGCGGCTTGATATCCATCGAATGATCGTATATTCCTTTTGTGATCCAAAAGGTAACAAATGCGGACAGAATCACCGCAGCCACTGCTATCAAGAACAGTAAAAGTGCAGTTGATTTTGAACATGTTATCTTTTGTGGCTTTCTTGGTGCTGCTGGCTTAAATTCTGCTTTTCTGCCACCGTTCATTGGAGCAACCTCATCCTGGAATTGATTAATTCTTAGCAACTGAAGAGTGCTTCTCTTACAGATATCTTAACAATAATGAATGATCACTGCGTCGCAACCTCTCAACAATGAGCTCGATTTGCAATTATAAAACACCCAAAAGATGAAATTTTGCGTACAGTAGCTTTAGGCGTCTTTTCGGACGAATCGCTCATGCCAATGAGACCCTTTTGGTCACTAAGGTCGACGTCCTCCAGTTTGTTATCAGTGTCGTCTTCGCCCGACGTTTCTTCAACGACGGGTCGTTCCTCTCCTTCTTCAGAATCCTTTAACATCATCTCTGATGTTTTCTGAATTCATTCAATGCATCCATATTAGCTGTTTATTATTCATGTGTCACAAATACGCAATCTTTCAGGTGCACTTAAATCTAAGTCGATTGCAAACATAAATATTGTCGATTTCCACAATTGTTCACACGAAGGAAGCTATTGAACTATTCATCTGGAAGGCAGATGAAAAAACAAACAATTGATCAAATGGTAGATGGATGCGATGCAGTCAACAGTGAATTTGAAGACTGACATACAAAGTTGAAATNTGAATGAAAAGAAAGTCAGAATTATATCATCTTGAAAGGGTTTTGAAATGAGAAACTTTCAAATTCTCATTTGATGTTTCACCTCAGAAAATGACTGAACGAAAGTGTTATCGAGCATAATGGTTCGAAAAACAGACCGAATAGTCCGAAGTTACACAAAACAACTGATCAAAAGATTACAAGAAGCGAGCGTATGGAAAGTAAATCCAGAAAATTGATCCAGAGCGATCAGGAAAATACATATGGAAGGAATTATCGAAAAAGTAGTCGATAACACAAATTAGGAATGACATCGGAGAAGAAAGAGGATGTCGCATTGTACGGCGAAAATTTGATAGGTGTTATTTGATGGAAGGACATATAAAGGCAATCGATGATTAATTGGTGCTCGAAGAAAAGTTTGAAGAGAAGAAACGAGACAGTGCTGGCATATCTGATAGTCACTATCATCAATTGATTGATTCGTCTTAATTAGATTGGTTCGGTGTTCAATTTGAATTCCATGTGGTGATTTGTTTGAAAGAACATCAGAAAAGTGTGATCTTGGAGCTGATGCGATTCGTTTGATGAGTCAATGAACAGCAGTCACATTAGAGCTTCTTTGAGGTGAATGAAAAAAACGAATAATCGAATGGCGTAGGTGATGGGGATGCAGCAATGATGAAGGTCGAGGGTTCGATTACGCTGAGTTGCTTATGTTCGCAGAAGAAGGTGTCTTTATGTTTGTCAGTGTCCCTCCACTTTAACATTGCTCAGTCATCATTTGACGAGGACGGCACGAAAAAAATGAATCCTTTCAATGGGCCATTTAATCCCCATGAAACGAAATTTTCGAAATCGGAGAAAAATTTGACAAACACTGACAATCGACGAAATTGTTTTCACCGTTTTTTGTTGAGCAATATCTCGTCACGCACAATTGATCATTGTTGAATGCAAATTTTCACGAGTTGTTTTTGAAGTCGTTTTTTTTTTGAATTACCAACAAACGTTATCGTTACCTCCATGAAAAAACATTGATCGAGAAAACGCATCAAATTCAGCAACAAATGCAGTTGATTAAAAACACTGATCGGACAGATATATCTGTGATGAGAAATTCACGAGAGCAATTGGTAGGAGGGCACGATGTATAAAGTGGTTTGCTGAATTGCTTCACTTTTAGACGGTGCTACGCTCACAGTGAGTGCATTCGGAACGTATTCGGCGAATAAGCAGGAAGTGGTGGTAATGCTCAAAATGTGAAATAAATGGTTCAAACTTGGTGAGTTGTTCACATTTCCGAGAAGAAACTTTCGTTTTGCACTCAGTTCGTTTAGCGCTGAACAAAATGCTTTAGAAAATGGGGTGCTGCTCGGCAAACAACAAAGCAATTTGATGCAATATGAATTGGATGAGAAGGTGAATTTTGTTTTTCGATATAAATGAATGATATCAAAAAGAGAGGTGCAATATGAATGGAAATGTTCGAAGTGAATTGTATTCGAAGAATTGATGAGAGGTTTCTCTGNAAGCGCAAGTAAGTAACTTGTTTCTTGCATGTAACGAATGAAAGATAAATCGTCTCCACAAGGTAAGATGAGATTTGCTTACTGAACTCATCTCGTCAAGTTCAATGAAATGAGCGGAATTTATTTAATTACATCATAAATAATTTAAAAATCTAGTTTGTCAACGTTCGATAACTTGTCAAAACTTTCGAAACATTCAGGGAAATGAAACAATACGAGAGCTTTCAAATACTGAACGCGAAGCTAAACGACAAAGATGTGAAAATTATCAAGGAATTGAGAGTGAGTACAACTGCTGTAGGTTCCAAACGCTACTACTCAAAAATATGAGCAGAAGTGGGAAAGCAAGTGGTGGTACTTGAGAGGTATTGAAGAGAGAATAATAGATAAGGTCGTTCAAGTCTATATAGTTCAAGCAACGAAACGAATGATTGAATAATCAGGTAAAAAGACGACGTCATAATGAGACTGATGACAGCATGAACACATTCGCTCAGGTGAAATGTCGTTCGCTATTTCTGAATCGAACGCAACAGACCAGTTCTGTTCACTGTTACTGCACGAACCCATTTAATGGTTGTATACTCATCTATCATATTTCAGTAGTATTGCTGAATTCGACCCAACAATAAATACCAGAAATGGTCGATGAGCAGTCGGGCACATAGTTCCAAACCAGCTTTTCAACAATAATAACTAGAAGTAGGCGAGTGTCGCAGTGACGTAATGAACGAGAGAGAAGAACAGACAATTGGGCGATTTTAAATGTAGAATTTTCGAGACTTATGTAAAATAAATTTTCGAGTTTAAAATTCTAAACGGATGCACACAAATAAATCTTCCGATAGGTGATCAAGTGAAACAGCGATAAAGCACACCGATCAAGATAAGGATGAATGCACACCAAAGGAGTATATATGCACAATAGCATATTTGCAGAGCATTTCTCACCTCAGATTAATACTCATCTGTAATACTCATAAAAATTTTTTGATTGCTGAGTGAAAGTGTTATGTGTAAGGGCATTCAGGGCGTTCGCTCAACAACGACCATGATGAAATGACGAACTAAAAATAGTCATCTATAACGATTGGCAGAGGAATCATAGAAGAAGGTGGATAGTTTTTTACGCTGAATTTTGTTAGTAGTTAATTGTTGCAGTGGTTGATGAACTAACATTTGTTGATTCTGAATGAGACAGTCGGTTGTTTGGAACATGTTGAGTAGATGCAGGTGTATTGGGCACATACAAGTGACTGCATGCAGGTGAGTGAGCATATGCAACACTTCGTGTATCTGAGTGGCGGAAATAGGCATGTTCGCTGATAGTGCAGAAATATCATCGAAACAATCATTGTGATAACAATATCGTCCGTTTGGACCGGTGCAATGGAACAGGAAAATTGGTTACGAAATTGAAATTAAATTGACGGTGACAGTAATGGCAATGATGAGTTGCTTTAATAAACAACTGCTAGAGACAATGTTCTCTGTTTGTGAAGAGAATTACGCAACAACTGTAAATGGTTCATGCACACATCTTTATGGCTGTAATTAACATTAATTCAGTTGTGAAATACCTTCTTGGAAGCAAATAACAATTTGTTACTTATGAAGAAGTATCATATTCGTATTCGGATTCGTCATATAGCAAAACAGAGGAAAGAAGAGAGGTTTATGACTTGTGATATTTTTACTGCATTGGTTTGAGGGAGTTGAGTGATATAATATGGGGAAGAAGGCAACAATTAATTTTTTTGAAAACTTCTTTTAATATGAAACGATCCATGAAATGAACGATGCGATAAGTTCAGTTACCTTTTCATTTTTGCATCAGCCTTCTTCAATATTCACTGAATAAGTAGTCATTATTGAGTCTCAATAAAGAGCAATTTATACTGCAAATTTATTAATGAGTACGTTTGAAAAATGAAATAACGATTTAGTTGACTGACTGAAATGTGACCGTAATGATGCATTGCTATTATTGTTCTAATGACTTACTCTCTATTCATCCACTATTGATGACCGACACGAGCATTATCCCTGCGTGCGTCAATTATCCATCCCTTTACACGATATATATCCCAACCTGATCGGGTGATGCTCCGATTATTTCGATTCGTTATGAACTCGCATTGTGTTTACAGATGCTGTACCAAATAAATGCAATAATTCATGCAAAGAATCATCCGAACGTAAAACTAATTACAGATGATCGCTGAGTGCAAACGTTCCATCGATACTGCAATGATACAATGCTTTGTTTAGAAAGATCCGAAATTCTATTGCATATTTTTCAGTATCCGCAAATTATAGCAAAAAACATCTTAGAAATTGTTTTGCTGGAGGCGTCGATAGGATTACGAAACGACTGAGAATGCGGTTGATCGCATTACATCGATTGATGAATCAGCAAATTCGCTGTAAAATTTCACTGTTTTGCGATTGTTTGTTTGTCTCTTACATGAACTTCAGTCACAAATCGATTGGTATCATTGTGTGATATAACATAAACCAGGTTTTTCAACTGTTCACCATCCAGCAAGGGAAAGTGAATCGTTGTGATAAAATCTCATTGGAACAGTAACGAATTTATGTCGTTTTCTTGCACAAACTCTTAGCAAATGATCCATAAAATATTCAAATATTGATCATGATTTCCTAGAAAATAGTCGTTTGTGATTAGTCGATCAAATTGATACATATCAATCACTTCTATTAATATCAAAAATTCACGTTTCATAAAGGACACTGTTGATTTTTGAGCATATGCGATCCGATAAGGATGTTCGTAGGTACTTGATCATCGATACTGCGTTGTTTGCGGTAGTAATACAAACAAAGCCGATCGCTGTCTTCGAGCATCGATTCAACGTTCTTAATGCCGAATGCCGAGAATAGTGCGTCGTACCAGCGATTCTTTGCATACGCATAATCCCGATAGAATACGCCAGAGCCCACCTCAAATTCGAATGTGTTTATCAGATATTATGCGTGATATGAATCTAACCGTATAGCAATCGTCGTACTTCGTCGCGTATGAAGTCTTTCGAAATGCTGATTCGGATATCAGTTTTGCAAGCAGCCCGCTGAAAGATCATGATTGATTAAAATCAATTAGATCTGTGCATAACTAAGATTAGATCAACTAGATTTCGAACAAATTCAAAATTCCTCAAAAACGTAAATGAATCGTAAAAGCATAAATATCTCTGTCAAACGCACCTGTACAGTCGTATATCAGTATGCTTAAATTCATCGACAGCCTTGAAACGATTTCTCAAATAAGTAACCCACTCGTATATATCACGCTTTAGAAACAATCAATCCGAGAGCTGTTCACTATTAACAATGCCCTGCAATGGTGATAAAATTCCTCTAACGGCTGGCTCAACAATTACGGCATGAGTTTTGCGAGAAAAACCTACGTCTAGCAAGCCACCTGTGAGCAGTTCAAACGATAACTCTGAAAATGCCACAGTGAGTTGAGCTGAATGACCAGAAATGATATTCATTGTAGATCATTGGCGGAGATGTGTCACCAGAAGAGAAGTGTTACCTGATCACTATTGATCTATAGTGATCAAATGCACATGAATGAGCGCGACTGCGCTATTTGAGATAGATTTAAGAAAATAGCTATATCTCTTCAAAATAGCAAAATAGTTCAGCAAAATATATGTTGTTCTGAACCTAGAGATTCTGCAAGCATTCCATTGATCGATTGAATTTAAGGATGTAATTTTAAAATAAGATAGCGATTCGAAGAAAAAACTTGGATTGGGTGTTACGATTGAGAACGGTGTGATAGCTGTCTCGAAACTCGTCGAAGCGTCAGTGGCCGAAGGGGTGTTGCATGAAGGTGACATTATCGTGACAATAAACGGCGATGCACCGAAAAGCAAGGAGGATACTCGCTCAATGCTTGTGAAAGCACTAAAGGTTTGCAGTTAATCGCACCGCATATGGATCCTGCAGCAGTAATGTGTTTGTGGTTATCGAACTGCAGAATACAGGTCAGGCAACATTGAAAGTGAGTTGTATTTTCGATGCTGAGCGCAACAGTGATGAACCGTCAGTGATGCTGAACAGTGATGTCCTTGAGATTGCAAAACAACAACAGGAACGGCTGCTGAATGCAAAGCCTGAGCTAGTTGCGTATCCTTGAAATTTTGAAAAGTCGGAACGGTCAAATGGCTTTGAGAACTGAACCAATGATTTCAAACGAGGTCTGTTTGTGGTGACTGATTCAAAGTTCCAATTTTTTTCATTTTTAAATTCAATCCCCTTCAGGAACAAGCAGCCCCTCGTGGTATCCTAGGTCATTATACCCAATTGTCAGAAGCAAAAGAGCAAAAGCGTCTAAACGTTGAACAAGACCATCAATCACTAATGATCGGAATGGATCCCGTTGACCACCCGCTCATGCACGTTAAATCTGATCCAAATCAAAATCAACAAGACAATTCACACTCTGATTCACAAAAAACAATCTGATTACTTCGATAATCTGTAAATTTGATGTCGTAACATGTATTTTCACTTGGCGATATTATCGCTGTGAGTGAGTGATATAGCAGCAGTCAAAATGAACGGCATTCGTGTAGTTGAATGTGATGTTCCGGAAATTAAAACATCGATGTATAAATAAATAATTTTATTNGCATGAAGCAGTAATAGCTTGTTTTCTTGACAGCTTGGGACAGTGAAGGTTCAATGTAACAACATAATATTTTTGTCTGAAAACGCACCGTTGCATAGATATAGTTGCTTTTTGAAGATCTGATGTGAGGTCGGTTATATAGTTTGCATATGGACTCAATAATTACTCGATTTATTGCATGATCTCGTAAATTTATGAATGTGTCTGATTGTGAGCATCAGTCATTGTTTATAGTTATGCGCTAAGGTGAGGTTGAGCAGGTGCAGTGCTTGAAAATGGATGACCAATCGTTTACTTCTGGTCAGTGTTTACTTCAGCAAAGAATTCGTGGACAAAGGGTGATGGATAAGTGGTTTTTTAGAATTGGAATCAGCAGAATGGTACCATGGGATGTTGCCGCGTGAAGATATCAAGCAGTTGCTCACTGAAGATGGTCACTTTTTGGTTCGACAATCAGAGGTCAAAAATAGAGAGGTATCAACGCATTGAACGGCTCCATTAACTAGCCAAATACTTGACATTAACCAGCAACACAATGCAGAAATATGGCATCCAGCTTAGTGTTTATGCAGTGCGCTTAGTTGAGAAAGAATGCGATATAAAAGCTAAGAAGGTGAATGTTGATTTCGGTACTTTCAGGGTTTGAAAATGGTATTATCAGTGCGCTGGAATGGTAAATTTCATCACTTCATCGTGAGCAAGGATGCTGGAAGTTATTTCATCGAGAAATACCAATTCGATTCAATAAGCGATCTGATAAGGTGTCTCTCATCAACACGTTCAAAATTTC